GGGTTCCAAGGGTTCCAAGGGTTCCAGGGTTTCAGGGTTCCAGGATCCCAGCAGGGTGCCAGGTGTGCAGGGTTGCAGGGTTCCAAGGTTCCAGGGTTCCAAGGTTGCAGGGTTCCAGAATCCTTGAGGGTTCCAGGGTGCCAAGGTTCCAAGGTTTCAGGGTTCCACGGTCGCAGGGTTCCAAGGTTCCAGGGTTTCAGGGTTCCAGGGTTCCGGGGTTCCAGGGTTCCAGGGTTCCAGGGTTCCGGGGTTCCAAGGTTTCAGGGTTCCAGGGTTCCAGGGTTCCAGGGTTCCAGGGTTCCAAGGTTTCAGGGTTCCAGGGTTCCAGGGTTCCAGGGTTCCAGGGTTCCAGGGTTCCGGGTTCCAGGGTTCCAGGGTTCCATTCCGGATTTTGAAGGCTGCAAGTCCCCGCGAGCCAGCCCCAGCCCTAGAGATTGAAACCCAACAGGCCCTGCTGTTGGGAATTAGAGATATGAGGAGGTCCGGGCGCTGATTTCCTAAGAGGGGTTGCATTTGGAGCATCAGATCTTCAGTTTTGTGAAGATGATTTTGCGTGACAGTTGCAGCACTTCGTACGACCTGGCATCACTTTTTCGTGGCAGGCGCAATACTTTAGACAGGTGGAGTGGAAAGATCCCAAAACTCCCAAAACGAATTGGCACGAGGCCGTCAGCTCTGCACTCAACTTTCCATTTTTGAAGGAAGTCTCGCAGAATTGCTTCGTTTTTGACGTTCTCAACTTCGAAAATTGAGGGAGTCTCGCGGAATTGCTTCGTTTTTGATGTTGTCAACTTTCGACACTTGAGGAAGTCTCGCAGAATTGCTTCGTTTTTGGCGCTGCCAAGTTCAAACATTGAGGAAATCTCGCAGAATTGCTGCGTGTTCGATGTTGTTGTGAAGTTAAAACATTGAGGAAATCTTGCAGACTTGCAGCGTTGTCGATGTTGTCCAGTTTAGATAGTGAGCAGGTCTTGCAGGTCGTATTGTGAAGTTAAAACGTAATCTCAACAGCTACAACTACAACTACTACAATTTCTACAACTACAATTTCAACTACACTTTAACTACACGACAACTACAACTACAACTGTAACCACAACTGCAACCACAAATACAACTACAACTACAACTACAACATTACAACTTCAACAACATCAACTATACTACAACTACCATTACACTGCGTTTTTCTACACCGCATACATCCTGCAGTTGTGGGCGAGGTGACCACTGCAACCACTCCAAAAATCACAACCACTTTTCGGTCCATCAGTGGATTCGCTCTGCCATCCATGCATCACAACAACCAACCTCTCCTATAGGTTTCCTATTTTTGAAACTTCCGCCACCGCCTTGTGCGGTACTATAGTACTGGTGATAGGACAATGATAATACCATGATAAGAATAAGTTATAGCCTAGCAATAATGACAATAATGGTGATTTCTATGTCCGAAGGAGGTAAATACTATGTCCGAAGGAAGTTTAGAAGTCAAACTTCCGACAATATGGACAGATGGAAAAGCAGAGGTGGGAAGAGTCACAGAAGAGAGAAGAGAAGAAGAAAGAAGATCAGAGAAGAGAAAGAGTCAGAAGAAAGAAGATGTAGGCGCACGAAAAGGTAGAAAAGTTGCGAAACATTGTCTTACCAATGATTTGTTGCTCCGGAGGCTCGAAAAGTGCGGAGCCATCTGGGGAGATGAGAGATGAAAAATTGCTTCGTGTTGTGGCGCGAAGCACATTTCCAAGTCAAAATGAACACAACAACACCGGACCACTTTTGGAAGTTGTCCATCAGGTGTTCCGACCTCTTCCATATCCGACATCGGGGACTGGCGTACGAGCAGCCTCTTCTGATGGATCCGTGGTGACTGTGGCTGGCGGCTCCTGTGGAATGAAGTTGGGCTGATACCAGGAATGATCCACCGGGTATGCAGTTCGGACACTGCAGCCGGATGTCTCTTTCATCCACCTGTTCGTTGTGAGCCAGATACTCACCGATGCAGAGGCAATGGAACACGTGCCCACATGGATGCATGACATGCCACGTCCCTCAGGGTTGCATGACATGCCGCAGCCCCCAAATGGATCAAAGTTAGGAACATATGTTGCATCAGTACCACAGCTTCCACCACGGCATGTTCAGGACTTACGCACTTTCCAAGAGGTTACTGGTGCGTCAAACTCGCGCGCCAGTGCCATGGAAAGGGACAGTGTTCCGACACTGGACCTGCCGCCTGTCTCTGTCTCGACAGGTGACACAACGCAAGCCCAAGCAATGCAAGCCATGGTTGACCGAACTGCGGCCAATGAAATTGCCGTGTTTAGCGAAGTCCATCAGTACAGGCGAGGAAGGGGATCCGATCGCCCGGCTCGACTGCATGAGTCAGCCCAAGCTGCATCATCTGAAAATGAACCTAGGGAGTCCCGCCGTGACCATGGGTCATTCTCCTGAAGGGGGTCAGGAGTCATTGCATGTACCTCAGGTGCCCTCTCCTGCCCATTGTTTCCAGGATCTACACCTTCATGTTGTTCGTGTTCATGTTGTGACTCGCCTTGGTTTCCAGCCCTGGGGTGCTGACAGGGTTCCAAGACTGTTCACTTTCAGCTTGAGCAGGAAACTCGGCAAAGTGCACAAACGAGTTCCTGTTTGTTTGTGCTGCGGCATGGGTCTGACCTGTGGTACCTGAAACTGGGTTGGGAATTGGTGTTGGTTGTATTGGGGCATTGTGGACATTTGGCACAGGAGGTGATATTGGGACTGACATTTGATCACTTCACCATCTCTCCCTTTTGTTGTCCACCCTACGACCAAACCCTTTCCCACTACTTCGTCCCCCTTTACATTTCCCCTTGCAATATGAGTTCTGGAGGATTTCATTGATGTTCAGGAACCCTTGTTGACCCAAACCACCCTTGCTTCCTTTCCCCTTGCGTCGCAACACCCGGCGCAAGGCGCGGACTGGTTTTCCTGCGTAGCATCGCCAACGCTTCTTCGCATGTCGGTACTTGCCAAAGAGATACTCCTCGGCCTGAGTTGGGGACAAGCCTACCAGGTCGGCTGCGTCAATGACCGGATCATTGTCACTGCTAGTGGCACTGGCCGTGTCACTCTCCTCAGCAGCTAGGTAGCTCCCTGAGGCTGGCGCCGCTGCTCCATCAGGCTCGAAGCTCTGATGGGGCCATGAGGTTCATCCTCTTCACCACCTGGAATGGACCAGTAGTGGCCAGAGTCTCCAGCTCGGTTGCCTCCACTGCGCAAAGTGGAAGCGATGTTGCCGCAGTGGCTTTCCACGATGTGCCCCAACCATCTGATGGCGCTGCACATCTGGAGATATTCTGCCTTGTCTGAGGGAAGACGAAAACCAAATGGCTGTGTCAGCTGTTGGAACTGACCATGGTTCACTTCAACCGCACGTAGGAGGATTAGGGATGCAGTCTCGGTAGACACTGTTGCTCCTCCTCCTTCGGCACGACCTCGCTGTCTCACGATCTCGAACCTACTCAAGAGTGTCCGTGCCCTCACCTGGACGGCGACCAAAGTTGAGAAGGTTTTGGGCTGCACGCAATCGCACCTCATCGGCAAGGGGACCAAACCTTACTGACAACCCATGAAGTACTGTAGATATGAAACATGATCTAAGTGCTGTCCGTTCACAACTCCTCCTTGCCACACCTCAGCAGGAGTGTACGCGCCACCTCCCTGGCAGCGCCACCCAACTGGGATATGACAAGGGCGCATTGCTGATGCGGCTCTGCATCACTGGAGATCGTCCAAAGCATCAAGTCCTCAGTCCAAGCCCTCAGCAAGGTACTTGAGCCAGGCTCCCACCTGGAAAACGTGCATTCCCACTATTGGCGCGGTTGCCATATCAGGGCGAACACAGACAGTATCACAGAGACGGCCATCACCATCATCTGGACCTTAGCCTTGGAACTCCTCATCCATGTGTGGATCCTGACTTGCTTGAAAGTTGCAAGTCGGCATGGACTGGAGTGACACTGGTGCCATTGGATTCAGGCGAGGTTTTGCTGGGACGGGCTCCAGCCAAGTGCGCAACCCCTGCAGTTGATTGCACATGTGACGAACCCGAAGGGTGTGGGGCGAAACCCACCGACATCTTGGCGTTGTGCGGGGCGGAGCCCACAGGCATTGAGACATCGCGCGGGGAGAAACCCACAGGCATTGAAGTGGGGCGAAACCCACAAAGGCATTTGGTGAGACTCAACTCACCGGCGTATTGGGCGTCCGAGGTGAGCGAATCACCGTCCCGTTGAGTGAGGCGAAACTCACCAACCGTGCTGCTGTCACTTGGGCGAAACCAAGGACCAGGCAGTTGAGCAGCATTGCTGTCACTGGCCGGAACCAGGATATCAGCTCCGCTACCAACTCGAAACTGAACTATAGGGTCTTCGGACTAGCAAGCAAGACACCTTTGTACACCACACATTGCAAACAAGTTTGTCCTCGTGGCTACGGCGTGTATTTACATGTCGAGTATATACTCATTACAAGGTATCAGTAGTCACAGCACACATGCGAAATTTATTGGAAGTCGGAAGATAAGGTCAAGAAGTCAGGGAAAATCTACAGGAACCCCCTGTAATGGATCGTAAAAACTAGGTTCCTGTAAGATGTCTCCTTAAACCAATCCAATGATTAACCAATATCTATCATAATTATTACGGAAAATCCAATATTTATAGATTCTTTGTGATGATTCACCTATTAAAAATTGTAATTCTCCGTTGAATAAACAGCGCCAGCGCCACTCAAGGCACTGACCCCCTGGGTATCATCTTCGACTGGAATTGGCACTACAATTTTGTGGCTATAGTACATGTGTATATATATATATATCATACATATAAGTTCCAATATATCATATGTAATGTAATGATTAGCGATATATATATATATACTGGATGCATCTCACATCTCTCTCTCTCTCGGGTTGCAAACTGAGACCATCCACCAAACGTTTCTTCGCCGCTTCGCACCTTCTTGACATTCTCAGGATCCCGGAAATCCACAAAGGTGAACTCCATGCCCATCGGCGTGAAGAACTCGCGGCAGGACCTGCGGCCACTGGTGGTGCTTGTCATTGGGGATCATCATCTCATGGGTGAAAAATAGAACCACCAAGCAGATATTGCGAAGACACCCAAAAATTGCTGGATCCAAATTCTTGATTTCCGTTTGGCAAAGTGCTTGGCTGTTCTCTTTTCTTTCTTTTCAGGCTGGATCTGTGATCATTGCACCCAGCAACATCCTTGAAACAGCCGCATCCGCCTGTTTGTGCCACCATAGGAGCAGTCCGAAATGACCTGCTCCCAAGCTTGGGTCATTGGCAGGTGGTGATCCCTGGGCAACATGCATACCCCCATTCAAGCCAAGCTACGCAGTGGTCACCAGCCCTCAGAGCAGGAGTTCGAACTGGATGGGTTCTCTGTTGTGATAGTGATAGGGGTCATTTCACCCTGGTACCTGGGTGACCACCATTAGATTGCTGATAGCTGATACACGTGCAACAGGTTCGCCCACCGGCAAAGCAACTTAATACAGTACATCTTAATTGGGCGTTCAAGCCTCTTGTTAATCCGCCGAACGAGTAATGGCCAGAACCCTAACAGCAATGTCTTGTGACTATTGATCATGCTTGTTTCCCGCCGTTCGCTTGTCAAACATTCCCATGAGATCCAAAATCGCATGGAAGATTTAAATCAGAAGTTCACATGAGGAAACCCATAGTCCCGACTCTCAAAATGCCTGTCAATTGGAATTGACCTTGCCCATCGAATGGAAAGTAGCATGCATGTCTTTAGATATGTTTGAAACCCAAAGCCGCTATGGTTTTCAACCCTGTGCCCCAAGTTGATGCCCAGTTGATATCATCATGCCTGGTGAAAAGGTAGCCAACACGGCCCATGTTTGGATGGTTACAACCCGGGAAAAGCATCTTCTTAATCAACATCCTTAGCTTAGTTAGATACTTCCCCATGATTTATTGTGGCTGAACCATTTTGGTTGGACCCATTTTGTGTTGGTTCCTCAGCCAATTTCCATGGCTGGTATTCTTATTATTGTTGCTTGAACCTTATCTGTTTTGTTGGTCAACATCCTTATTTGTTAATTCCCCTATTTCTTGTCGCTTGAATTCCGAACCCTTTGATGGTTCCGATTGCAATCTCATCTTTTCTTGTCAAAAACTTTTGAGTTTTGTTAGTTACCTCGATTCAGAAATGGTTAAAAAATCCATGTTTCGACCCATTGTTGGCAGTTCGAAATCCATCCATTTTTGGGGGGTCCAACAGCCCAAAATCGCTCCAGTGGCTGCATGGTAGCTGAGATGGCGCTGGTGGTGGCAGCCATGCCCGTACCAAAGGCGCAGGCACCGTACCTCGGTTGTACCACGTTAAGAGGGCTTTCGGAGGGGGGTGTCCCCAGAAAAAAGGTGGAAAAAATTGTGTAAAAACTGGGTTACTTCTTTCTATACCCTGAAAATTGAAGGTAAGCGGCTGATTAGGTGTTTTTTGAAACCAATTGTAGGCTATGTGGGATTGCAGAAATGGGAAATGGGATTACGAACATACCTTGTGAAAATACGTAGATGAAATAGACCGTTGCGCATGAAATCAGGAGCGTGAGAGTGTTGCCTGAAATCCCTCCACGCTAGGATCAGAGTTGGTGTGGGTCTGAGTCTGAGTTGAGATCATGCACCACTAAACTGGAGCATACCCAGAATCTTCTGATTTTACTGCGCAAGATCAACATTCAGGGAGAGTGGTTTCAAATCCATCCGAAGCTCTGTGATTGGCAACATTCAGACACACTTTGGGAGACGATTCTCACAGGAAAGGGAGAAGTTTAAGACACAACCCCGTGCACAGACTGAGGAAAGTATATATCTTTATGTATTAAATTCATTGTATACACTCATTTTGCTGGGGTCAACATCTTCTGGCCAGTCCTGGCACAGAGGAAAAGAATTCCATCTCTCCTTGGGTCAATGGGTGGATGAATGTTGCAGGAAACCATGGGTGTTGGTGTGGTAAACCCCAATAATGAACCACTAATTACCACAAATGTCAAAAATCATCCCCAGTCATGGTAGATTTATGGCAGCCAGGGTTTACCACCTTACCATATTTCTTGTAATTACACGGTTTCCTCCCAACAATCCTAGGAATGTCAGGAAATCCGATATTGAATTCGCACCAAGGTGCCCATTCTCCAACTTCGCTAGCTTCTGTTCCAGCACTGTCACCGTGGGGTTGTTGGTTCGCGAGTAGCTATAGCCCTCCAATTTCCGGCAGCGATTTGACGAGTAAAGTAATTGACTGGGAGGGGAAACCAGTAGCAAGCAACTGAGATTGGCATATGGCACATAGCCCAAAAAGACATCATATCACTGACATAAGTCTTGCTCAAACACCGTGTCCATTGCACTTACAAAGTTTCTCCTGTTTGCAAAAGTTCTTTCCCATTTTGTGGATCAATATGTTTGAGCTGGTTTCAAATGTGCAGAATCGTAGGTCACCGCCGGGGGGACTCTGCGACATGATGTGGTCATGGCAAAACCATATACCACAGTGTAAAACCCAATAATGAAACTGAGCCACATGCCATTTGCCCAAGTTTCCCACGTGTGGCATTAAAAACCTGACTCAAAATGGTGTATTTCTTATTGGGCTCACCACAATTGCCACAGTCAGAGCTCCTTGTCCAGGTACTTTTCCACTGACTCCTGGTGGAGAAGCGACACGAAGACGGTGGCATGAGGTGATGTTCAATGGAACAAACAATTGGAGATCTGGATTTCTCACCTTGGATGAATTTCTATCATCACTTGAAGCCAACCGTTGGGCCCGATCCCACCTGAATGAAGGTGGTGGACAGAAAGAGTGGGGTGAGGATGGCACCTCAGCCCAAAACATCCTCAGCTGCCTACTCTGCGGCATTCCTGTTGCTGAAAAAGTCAAGCAACATATGGGGTTTCCATAAATGGTGAATCCCCAAAATAGATCAAAATAGAACAAAATCAGTTGGTTTCTTATGGAACATCCTGTTAAAATGGATGATTTTGCGGTACCCCCATGACTTAGGAAACCTCCATATGGCTTTATCTCAAAATCGAATGCCCCCTAAATCCACGCGCAAATCATGGTGTTTCCGGTGAATCCTGGGGCTCCCGAACCACTCTTGGGCTCCGGCGTAACAGCAGCCTCACTGCTTGATAGACCCCATTTGTTGGCGTGCCAAACCATCCAATTTGAGTGGTGCATTATCTTGAGCTATAATGGAAGGTGAAATGCCCAATTTTTTTTTGATATTTTTCATACTAAGTCCATCTAACTAACTGGTGGTTTGTCGGTTCACAGCCACTTGAATCACTGGCGACTCTGAGTGACACAGGGGCTGTCTAAGATCGTCTAAGTGTTGCTTTGAGCACTGACCATCCCGACTTTTGGGGTAGGGGTACCCAACGGCATGAGCTATAAATATTTTCCAGGATTGACGGGGCCCCATAAAATGTAACCGTGTAACCAACGCCCACATTGCCATGTTTCAACAGAATTCACTCCTAGATTGGAAAGTCCGAAAGGAGAAATATGTTGACCCCTCAATGTGGAAAAGTTCGATACTAAAGTTAGTCAGTTATTCACACGGAATAGGCCATAGCCACATGTGCCACGGTCTAAAGCAACAAACTGCGATGAATGGGGATTCCACAAGTATTGGCAGCAGAATGTATGTTGTGTAAACCCCAATTTCACGTGAAATGGTACGACCATCCCCTGCATCATGGCTATTCTCAGATACGTTACAAAAATGTGGGTTGTTAGACAAAAAACATACAACATGTGTTTGTCATAAGTTACAACAACGTTTCCCAAGTTATGCAAAACCTTCGTTTCCCAAGTTATGACAAACAAAATGACCCGCAGACGTACCCTCTCGAAGCGATGAAAACCCGTCAAATGGGCAGATCAACTGCTGTCGCTGGGTGCCCAGACATGGACGAAGTTGGTATCCAGTTTCATCTCTCCCTGCGAGAGCTAAATTGTGGCGGGAGATGCGAGGAATTCGTTGATGTTCTGCTGGGCAAAATGGGCAAAACCATGCTGGGCAAACCAAAAAATGATGTCACTGTTTGATATGCTTTCCAACATGTTGGTTTGACCGGGGGGTTAGCCCGAGTTCAGCTGTGTTGAATTCTGGCAAAGTATTCTCCACTTCATCATACTTCATGTTCTCAGATCGTCCATGTTAGAAAACTGCGTTTTCGGCGTATCATTTTTTGTGGCATCAATTCATTTGCCTTCTTGTTCATTGCGAAATATGATTTCCTTTGTTCATAGACACGTGTATGAACTTTTCGATCATTTTTTTGAAAATTTGAACGGAATTTTGAACCCTTACAGTAGATCGTCGCGTTTTTCGTCTTGAATTTCATTCCTTTTATCACACTCATGTCTAGAGTCTAAAGTGTGTGGTATTTCTTTCAAATCTTTTCCATGTGTCAACTGTCTAACCAGGTCTTCTCAGGCACAGGCACGGATTGCATGCTGTTTTTCTCTCAGTCGCTTTGCATCCAGCTCATACCCACATATGCCTTGACAGGGTTTACATGGAACGTTAACATCCCCCCCCACCGCAACCCCTGCGTGGTGTAGCATCAACAACGAGAGCAAGTCACATGGAACGTTAACATACACCCCCCCCACCCCAACCCCAGCGTGGCGTAGCATCAACAACGAGAGCAAGTCACATGGAACGTTAACATCCCCCCCCACCCCAACCCCAGCGTGGCGTAGCATCAATAACAAGAGCAAGTCACATGGAACGATAACATCCCCCCCCCACCCCACCCCAGCATGGCGTAGCCACAACAACGGGAGAAACCACATGGAACGTTAACATCCCAGTCCCCCCCACCCCAGCCCCAGCATGGCGTAGCATCAACAACGAGAGCAAGTCACACGGAACGTTAACATACACCCCCCCCCACCCCAACCCCAGCGTGGCGTAGCATCAACAACGAGAGCAAGTCACACGGAACGTTAACATACACCCCCCCCCACCCCAACCCCAGCGTGGCGTAGCATCAACACTTGAGCAAGTCACATGGAAGTTAACATTAACATCCCCCCCACCCCAACCCCAGCGTGGCCAGCATCAACATGAGCAAGTCACATGAAACGTCAACATCCCCCCCCAACCCCAACCCGCCAGCCCCAACAGTCATCTGGCCTCTCTCATCCTGATGTGCAGCAAGGTCAGGAATTTCTGGGCTAACCCCCCCCCCCGTCTACCCAACATGTTGTACCAACATGGTTTGCCCATGGTTTGCCCTAGCTTCACCACCAATGATGCTATGTTGTTAAAGTCGGATGAAGCTTTTGAGACACTTCATGAACAGTGCAATCAAGGGATGGGGCTGGGGCTGGGGGTTGTCTACACTGAAGCCTACATTGATTCTATCCCTGGAGATTTTGCAGCTGATCGATTCGAGGCACCTGACTTCAGAGCCCGGAAATACCGGAAATATTGATGGTTGGGAAGTGGAAAGCATTGGAAAGCCACCAAAAATAATCTCAATTCAGGGTACACTGGTGGTGAAGACAATCAACAGCCACTCGTGAACTCCAACAAATTTTCAAGCTAGCAAATGGTTCGTCCCCCCCCAAAAATAGCTCGTCTGATACGGTGTGAACATGTTTGAACATTAGAACCTAGATGAGTTCTCCAACCGTAGTTAATAGTAATGGGTACAATCTATCCTGTAAGAAATTGTAAGAATAATAGTTTGATCATGTTTGATCCAACCATCCGAATTCTAGGATGTTCCCAACCCGAAAGAATCCAACTCGCTCTCCCATTCAACGAGCGCCTCAAGCCACGTCCCCGACACCGTGGCTTTGCGTCGCAGCGCCGTCAGCGTCGTCGATCGGCCCGGGCGAAGGCGAAACATCTTCGTCGCCTCGTTGCGGATCGGAATCTCTGGAGACTTGCCACATCGAAGCCTGCCATAAAATGTATATATACATATATATATATTATGTATAAAGTACAATGTGTATATAGATTTATGTATTATATATATAATACATATATATATATATGTGTATTATGTATATATATGTATGTATATGTATTGTGTATATATATGTGTGTGTGTATGTATGTATGTATGTATGTGTATGTATGTGTATGTATGTGTATGTATGTGTATGTATGTGTATGTATGTGTATGTATGTGTATGTATGTGTATGTATGTGTATGTATGTGTATGTATGTGGATGTATGTGTATGTATGTGTATGTATGTGTATGTATGTGTATGTATGTGTATGTATGTGTATGTATGTGTATGTATGTGTATCTATGTGTATCTATGTGTATGTATGTGTATGTATGTGTATGTATGTGTATGTATGTGTATGTATGTGTATGTATGTGTATGTATGTGTATGTATGTGTGTGTGTATGTATGTGTATGTATGTGTATGTATGTGTATGTATGTGTATGTATGTGTATGTGTATGTGTATATGTATGTGTATATGTATATGTATATGTATATGTATATGTATATGTATTATATCTCAAATGAGATTGGCAGCGTCACCGTGGATCTCCTGCTGCGGCCGCGCAGCTTTTCCTTTCACCTCCAAACGCCGTCTGCCGTATGGCACAAGCTATGGCCTCTCCCTCCGCAGGCTCGATCCTCGAGCCACCCCAGCTGAGGATGGTGTAATGGTGTTCCCCTTCTGGATTGGCACATCACGATCAGGCATGGTTTCACATGCATTATAAAGTATTTTTGTTCGTGATGTGTTCATTGCACCATCATTGTCATAGCAAAAGAATGCACTCGAACAGGCAAGGTCTGGCTTCAGTGAAAATTTTCTTTCAAGTAATCTTGAAAAGTACCCCATAAACACAAGATAGACAAAGTGTGACGACTTGGCTTTCCACAAGTATTTGTCTTGGCACCCCTAGGCTGGTTCAGGCTTTTCTGCTTCGGGAGATGTGTGATTGGATTTGGCATTTCGCTGCAGCCATTGCAGTTGAGAACGCTTGTCAGAGCGGGCTCGCAATATCTCAGCTTCATCATGCAAACTATACCATCCTGATCTCAAACACGCTCGCAGCATTGAACAATCCATGATTTTGGTAAGAGCATCGGCAATTTGTGCTCCCGAAGGGACCCATCTGATCTGTATGCCATTTTGTATGTGTTCCTTGATCAGTTTTGCTTGTAGCTGAGTGCGAAACTCTTGGCAGGCAGGAGGTGCCGTCCTACTGATTAAATCATACAAACTCTTGCAATCAGTCGTAAGAATCCCCTTCACATTGGTTTGTTCCAGGATGGTTTGACAACTGGATGGAAAAGTTTCGGATGATGTTTCTTCCTCATCGTCCGGTGGCAGAGCTGAGAAAGCAGGTGGCAACTGTTGGAGTAATCCATCTGCTCGGCGCCAGTCACATCGCGTATCTACCAACCAGGCCCAATACAATCGGACCCATGACAAACTGTCTACAGCTCCAGCTAAGGCCATGGCTTCTGCTGATAGTGTGCTGACTGCCACACGTTGGATCTTCTTTGAATGCCAACAAATGGGATTAATCGGGCTTTTCTGATTTTCCCCGATTTTTTGATGTGCAGCCATGATTATCATACCCTGGTGCGAATCAGGAACCTTTTCCGAGGCAAAAGAGGCGTCTGAAAATGCTACAAATCTGATGTCAGGGATTGAAATAGGTTGAATCCTAAGTTCGACAGCGGCATTTTCTTTGGCATCATGAAGAACCCTGTTGGCTTCAATCAGCGTGGCCACTTTGGCCTTGTTCACTTGGCTTTGAAGCCAGCCAAGGCGAGAGCACAGGTCAGGTCTAGTGTTGACTGCTCCATAGAGCAAACTGCCTATCAAACCTCTCAGATTCTGTCTCTCTCTCTCGTTGACCACATCTTCTTGTTGCATCCTTCGTGCTCGGGTAAGTGTGATTGGTTGGATATCCTTGATGTATTGTTGTTGATCAATTGTAATGGAGAAATCATCATGTTGTTTGATATGAAGGCCAGTGAAGGTAAATTCTTTGTGCTTTCGACTGCCAAAAGGAAAACGTTTAGAAAGTGTCATCAGCTTTTCTTGAAAAACTTCCGATCCGCAGCATAGTCCATCATCCACATGAACTCCTATAAGACCTTGGGTTACACCCTGTTCATCGGTCAGTACAAATGTGCATGGATCAAATGGTGCTGCTTTGAATTGCAAACTTTCCAGTGCTCCCTTGAGTTCCTGAAACCATAAATACGGTGCATCAACTCTTCCATAGGCTCCCTTTAGCAAACGCAAAGTCTCGCCTGGTTTCAGTTGGAGGCGATCCCGCATCTCAGGTGGAGGTTCAATTCCCAAGATCCTAGACCCTTGTTCTTGTCCTCTCAGAAACGCAGTCTTGATGTCAAAGCTCCCAATTGACCAGTTACGGCTTGCCGCCATTTGCAAAATCAGCATCCTGGAAAGTTTTGACATGGTAGGGCTATCCCGCGGAATAGTGTCAACCAATGGATCTTCATAACCCAAAACTACCAATCTTGCTTTTGCTTTCAGTGAAGGTTTCCCTGGTTCTGTTTGATTCTTGGTGTCGGGTTCGACCTCTTTCCATGTGAGTATCCATCGGCACCTCAAAATATTCTCCTGTGGAATTTGATGTCTTAGCACTTTGGCAACAGTCTCAGTGGCTAGCCAGCTATCAATCTCATTCATTTTGGCTTTTGCGAATTGTTGTTGCTGTTCTGGACTTAAGGTAGCAAGCTTCACCTCTGACCTCTGTCGCTTGGCAGCTGACACCAAAAATGCCATATGATGAGGATTCTCCTCACGACGCCAACGGTTGATGTCCTGTTGACAGACATTTACCTCAAAACACCATGCTTGATCTTGATCTAGGTGCCAACATTCTTCACAAATCAGATCAGTGTCACTGTCATCAGGCACTGGGACTTCTATTGGATTGGTTTCCGGCGGTGACTCTGGTGTCTCCGTCCGGTCTTGCGTCCCTGGTTCATCATCCGGTTGTTCGGAGCCATGGGAATCACTTGGTGTGTTTGAGATCTGTCGTGGATCAGCGGCGGCAGTGTCATCAGGGAGTTGAACATTATTCATTGAATTTGGATTATTGGGGTTATTAGGATGACTTGTATGATGATTGGGTGATGAGGTAGAATTGGAAATTTCGTTGTCAATTAAATTGTGGTACTGGACACCACCATGGCTTGGGATTATCGATCTCATGAGTGCGCCAGGTTGAGTTTCTTGTGTGATCACGGGCTTATGGGTTACTTCTTCCATGGCGGAAAGAGGACGGACATGTTCAGGAGCAATCCGATAGAGTTTTCCACTACTGGTTACCCACATGACTTGATGACTCTCCTGGATGACCACTTGCATTGGTCCTTGCCACTGTCCATCTGCCTCCCCACGTTTCTTCCAGATCATAACCCAGTCCCCTTTTGAGTAGTTGCCACGAGCTGGCCTACTCCTGTGGACCATGGCACGTCGGAGCACTTGTTGATTGTCAACACTGGCAAAGGCACGTCTTGCCCTTTCTCGTAAGGCAAGTTCTTCCCGAAATCTCAATCCCTCAGGGGATTCTTCCAGCGCAGCCGAGTGTGATGCTAGTGACGGGTCACTAATGACTGAGCCAACTACCCGACTGGATTTCCCAAAAACCAACACCTCTGGTGGATAACCCCTATACCGACTCCATTGATTCTTGGTGTGTGTGGCAAAGGCGAGAGCTTGGGACAACTGGTCTAAAGACGTAATTGATTCTTCCACATCCATTTTTCCCAATATTTGCTGGAGAATTCCGCCATGACGCTCGGCACGTGAATTTTGCCAATGTGCATCTGGTGCTATGGTTTTCACTGGAATCCCATGTTTCTGAGTGAACTTAGAAAATTCTTCTGAGTTAAGCTCAGTTGCAGCATCTACACACAGAAGTCCAGGTGGACCTGCCCAGGAAATCCATCCTTGCAACAATGCCTGGATGGCTGCAGTGGAGCTGGTCGATGGCACAGCAACAGCAGTTTGGTATGATGTGCTCTGATCCACAAAATGATAAAACATGACTTGGCTCCCCTGCTGATTGGACCACTTCACTGCATCCATGGACACGACATCACCAAAATCGCCAGGGGCATGTATCGCAGACGGACGAGCTATCTGTGGAGTCTGTTGCTCCTGACATGTGGAACACTTGAGATCCCGAATTCCCTTTTGGATTTCAATTGGACAACCAAGTTGTTTGCAAAACTCTCCTAGTTTGGCTGCTCCCGGATGTCCAAGGTTGCGATGCAATTTCATCAACCATGCTTGGGTTTCTTTTCCAAGCCTCAAGAACTCAGGACCATGTTTTTCACTGGCTAAGTCAACCACCTGTCTTTGATCACCAGGCATTGGTTCAGCCACACTTGGGCTTTCAGGATCTCCTTCAGTTGGATTACAACGGAATCGTTTGGAGGAGGATTCATCAAGCCTGTCAGGCACTTCATGTGCTTGAGGCATCGCAACAGGCATTGGGCTCAGCTCAGGTATTGGTGCATCGGCAGAGTCCGCGGGAACTTTGACCCTGGCAAATATGGTCAGGCTCACTCGGGCCGGTGTGGCTTTCCTCCTCAGACCCTTTAGAGTTAATCTACCCCACGGTTCCCACTCATCTTCAGCTTCAATTGTTTCTAGTCTTCGGCGAATGCAGATTCTTTTTCTGAGTGGGGCTTCGGATGCATGCATGGATTTGTTTGGTCCTACACACCGGTCAGTGCCTCTACATAGAACCAAATGGCGCACTTCATGGTTAACACACATGCGTTGGACTTGATCTATAAGGGGCCCTTGTTCAATGACTTGGATTCCCACCCTTGGAGCTACCTTGTCCGCCTCAGTCATGATGGTCTGCCAATTGA